GACAATTTTATGCCTTTACTATACATATGACGTTTTTGTCAATTTTACACTTTACTATACTATGACATTTTTATGCATTTTTACGCCTTATTGTTTCGTATGCCAAATTTTTTGACGATTTTCATGCCTTTACTATACTATACGTTTTTTATGCATTTTCTACACCGGTTACGATGTATACTTCATGCCATCTTTTCTACCGCTGTTGATGAACGATTTTATGTCTTACTACTACGTCCATTTTTTGATGCATTTTACCGCCTGTACTTATTCTAAATAATGCCACTTTGTTTGACAATTTTATTAGCTGATGCAACCCTTACTATATCGGTATGACGTTTTTTGGTCAATTTTACAACCTAATTACCTATACATATGAATATTTTTCATTGCACGTTTACTATGACCCTAATGCCATTTTATATAGAACGGATTTTATGCCTGACAACTTAACTATATACTGGTGATAATGCCATTGTCCTTTTGGAGCGGATTTATGCCTTACTTAATACGGGTTCATTACGTTTTGTTTGTTCAAATTTTACAGCGTTTACGTTAAAGTATAGCTTAAATGATAGACCGATTTTTATGGGGCCATTACGTGTGATACATTAGGCCCATTTTTTATTTGACGATTTTATGGCAATTTAACTATGTACTCAAACAAGACAGGGCATAGGCCATTTTTTTGATGATTTTATGCCTTTCACTATAAGTATTGACGTTTTTATGCATTTTTACGCACTTACTATACTATGCATTTTGATGATTTTATTGCCTTACGGAACCTGTTTCCATATACGTGTATGACATTTTATGACATGCCATTTTTACGCGATTTGAATGCATATGCCTAGACAATCCTATTTCAATCAACCCTATGGATAACCGAATTTTTGTTGTGTTGACTGATTTTAGTGCCTGTACGAAAAATTATACTGTATGACGTTTTTGTTGATGCATTTATATGCTCTTTATTCTAAATACGTAATACTTGACAGTTCATTCCCATATGCTGATTTATTACAACACCTTTACATGTGCATTATTACTTATGCACATTTTTTTATTTTATTGATGATTAATGCCTTTATACTGGATATACTTGTATGCTCAATATTTTCTTTACGATATGCATGTTATGCCCACTATTAACAAATAAAACTATGGATCAAGTTTTCACTTTTTCCCAGTGCTATTTTTACGTCGATACCGTGCTTACTATTACATGAGTATCTAAATCTATGCCATTTTGAACAATTTTATGCCTTACCTAGTTATACTATGAAACCTCTTTTTTTTTTTCATTTTTACATATCTTCCTCTCACTAAATGAACTATCCTTATTATTGCACTCTACCTTTACTTATACTATGAGGTCTAATGGTCTCTTGTTATGTGTTTGACATGGATCTTTTTATTTGACCTCTTTATGTTCTCTACTGTATTACTATGACGTTTTTTGTCAATTTTACACTTTACTATACCCTTGATTGAACATTTTTATGGCATGTTCCTATACAAAAGTCTGCACTAGTACAATACATATGCCCATTTTTTTATTAATAGAACTAAAATTTATGTCCCAACTCTTGTACATTTTCGCCTTACTATCACATACGTTTGTTTTTTTAATTTACACTTTAACTAGACATTTTTATGCTGTCCCCGAAGGCCCTTACTATAAATGTGACTCATTTTTATATGTACGGATATTTTGAATGCTAAACATTATCTTTAGTTACTATGCCATTTTTGATGGATTTGTTGTATTGCCCTTTCTACCTTATATTTACACAATATTGTCACCCGTTTTATGCATTTTTAACGCACTTCCTATACGTGTCATATGGCCCATTTTTGATGCATTTTATGCCATTTAACTTAGTACTTATGAGGCGTTTTATATGTCAGATTTTTTTAGAGCCTATACTATTACGTATGCAGTCTTTTGACAATGATGGCCAAAATTACCGTATTACTATGACGTTTTGTTTGCTGTCATTTTAACACTTTAACAATTATAAAGCCCTCCTTATGTTATATACATATAGTCAAAAATGAACAATATTATTATGTGCCCTAATTATTGACTACACTATCTAATGTTATGTGTTTGCATCTCTATGCCACTTCCTTCTAGCAACACGTTTTGACGATTTTATTATGCGCTTACCCCTTTCATATACAGTATGACGTTTTTTAGGCATATTGTTACACTGTGTTGTCCCTCCCCTAGGCTCCAGAGTGTACAGTCTTTGACGTGTTTAGTAGTACTTCCCTATGCCATTTTTGACATGAATTCTTTTAGCTTACAAATGTCAGTTTTATCCATGACCTCGAGAAAGAATAGTAACATACCGTCCATTTTCCTCTGATTGTAGTATGATTTTTTACCGCCCACTTACTTTATTCTATGTGAAACCTAGTTGGCCATTCCTTTGACAATTTTACCCCTGACCTACTGTTACTCTTACTGTTACTAAAACATCACAATTCCTACTATGACCGTTTTTTGTGGCAATTTTTTACACTTTTACGATTAAATACTATGAATATTTTTATTTGCTGCTTTTACCTGCTTACAGGCCCTATTTATTTATTTGCCAAATTTTTTATTTAGGGAACGTAATTTTTATTGCTCTTACTCATACTTAGAGTAAGCTATGCGATTTTGACGATTTATGCCTTTACGTTATACGTGTATGCACGGTTTGTATTGTACAATTTTACAACTTTACGATATACTATGACATTTCTTATTGCGCGCTTACTATACTATGCCCCATTTTCCAGTCTTATTACTCTCGACTTTTGTGATCAACGGGATCTATATAAATAAAATGCTTACATAGTACAGTAAGGCCATACCTTTACAGATTTTGAAGTATGAGAGAGTTTTGATGACTTCAATCACTGAGTATAGCGGTTTTAATACGTGCTATTTTCATTCGTTGAATCGCGACTCACATACACGATTATGCCATCACTTACCATTTAGAATGATCTGGCCTCATGGCCGCAGATCCAGCCTTACTGTTCTCATATTACGCTTTTCTATCGTCACTATATTTTATCGCTATTTTTATCACACCTCTTAGAATTACTCGTTGGAATTACTTATATTGCCGCAGCACTTTTTGACTCATTTAATGAGTGTATTTCAATTTTTTAAAATGTGTTGACATCGATGCTTCTTAATCTCTTATGTGCACGTAATGGTCTTTTATATATTCTGCTTTTGATATCATCTCGTCAATCCTCTCTTTTAAGGCATAAAATTGTCAAAAAATGGCATAGTATAGTAAGGCGTAAAAATGCATAAAACGTCATAGTATAGTAAGGCATAACATCATCAAAAAATGGCATAGTATAGTAAGGCATTAAATCATCAAAAAATGGCATAGTATAGTAAGGTGTAAAAATGCATAAAAACGTCATAGTATAGTAAGGCATAAAATCATTAAAAACATCATAGTATAGTAAGGCATAAAATCATCAAAAAATGGCATAGTATAGTAAGGCATAAAATTGTCAAAAAATGGCATAGTACAGTAAGGCATAAAAATGTCATAGTATAGTAAAGTGTAAAATTGACAAAAAACATCATAGTATAGTAAGGCATAAAATTGTCAAAAAATGGCATAGAATAGTAAGGCATAAAAATGTCATAGTATACTAAAATGTAAAATTGAAAAAAAACGTCATAGCATAGTAAGGCATAAAATCGTCAAAAAATGGCATAGAATAATAAGGCTTAAAAATGCTTAAAACATATTAATTAAGGCATAAAAATGTAGTATATTAAGGTATAAAAACGTCATAGTACAGTAAGGCATAAAAAAGTCATATTACAGTAAAGTGTAAAATTGAAAAAAAGGTCATATTACAGTTAAGTGTAAAATTGAAAAAAAGGTCATAGTATAGTAAGGTGTAAAATCGTCAAAAAATGGCATAGAATAGTAAGGCGTAAAATCATCAAAAAATGTCATAGTATAGTAAGGCATAAAATCGTCAAAAAATGGCATAGAATAGTAAGGCGTAAAAATGCATAAAAATGTCATAGTATAGTAAGACATAAAATCGTCAAAAAATGGCATAGTATAGTAAGGCATAAAAATGTCATAGTATACTAAAATGTAAAATTGAAAAAAAAACGTCATAGCATAGTAAGGCATAAAATCGTCAAAAAATGGCATAGTATAATAGGGCTTAAAAATGCATAAAACATATTAATTAAGGCATAAAAACGTAGTATATTAAGCTATAAAAACGTCATAGTACAGTAAGGCATAAAAAAAGTCATTGTATAGTAAGGCATAAAAAATGTAATTAGAAAATAGTACAGTAAGTCATAAAAAGGTCATATTACAGTAAGTCAAAAAATTGCCATAGCATAGCAAGGCATAAAAATGCATAAAACGTCATAGTATAGTAAGGTATAAAATCATCAAAAAATGGCATAGTATAGTAAAGCATAAAAATGTCATAGTATAGTAAGGCTTAAAATTGCATAAAACGTCATAGTATAGTAAGGCATAAAATTGTCAAAAAATGGCATAGTATAGTAAAGCATTAAAAATGTCTTAGTATAGTAAGGTGTAAAACTGTTTTACTATACTATGACTTTTTCATGCCTTACTATACGGACATTAGTGAACATCCTAATTAGAAGCTAGCATGGTAGTTTGTTCTGGACCACACTGATTACTCCAGGGGGCTCTGTCCTGTCCCCGAGGTCACATTGGAAATGCCTCCACGTCTGAAAATAAACTTCATGGTTGATAGAAACACTGGAGAAAGTTTCATGATTTAGTCATAAAATGCACAATACCTTCCATATAGCTTATCTGTTGCACTAACATGATGTGGGGGTTGAAACTTGGTTGTGAATGGCCAGTGAGCCCTGTCCTGGAACAGTCTCAATAATGCCATTTGTTTGATGACTTTTAAATGAAGGAAATAAAATAAAATAAAAAAAGTGTGGGATGCAAACTGACCTTGGGGTCGAAGTCTCCCTCATCATCGTCATCATCAGCCTCCTCGTCTTGCTCCTGAGACACAAAAACAAGGTAATTGTAAGAGATGCAAACAACCCTTGTTTAAGAAAAATATATGAAGGGCTGGTATAATTCTAAGGTTTAGCAATGATCTATATAGCAGTAAAATTGCACACTTAAGTCCTGTGTGAGCACTGATGATCAGATGTCTGGCATTCCAGATCAAATATAAAGCATTTGTGAGTGACAGTGGTATTACTAAGTATTACCAACCTCTTCATCTCCCTCTTCCAGCTCCTCCTCTTCAAACTGCAGTAAAATCAATAAAATCAAGAATGAAAACAAACCCAACAGCAAAGACAAGTTTAGCTTATATACTTTCAAATGAGTCAGTTTGCAAACATCCCATCTTGTTGCTAGAATCGTGGAACTTTTTTCTGTTCATATGTAACTCTGTGTGCATGAGTGTCTGTTGGAGGAAAATCACTCACGCTCTCGTCATCTTCCAGGGCCTCTCCAGTGAAATACAGCACTGCTCTGGGAACTATTCTCTCACGGAAGAAATGACCAATCTCAAAGTCTGTGGCTAGAGTGAACTCAGAGTCTTCGTCCTATAAAACAAGAACAGACACTTTTTTTTTTTTTTTTTTTTTTTTTTTTTAAACACAACTACAAATCTAATATATTGACATTAAGAGAAGAAGCAATAAAATGGGTGGTGATTTTATGAAGAATAAGCTACATTTTACTCACCATTTCTCCATCTGGTAAAGCTGTAAGGCAAAGGACAAAGAATTTAAGCAATAAGCAGCTTAACATACTGGTTTACAAGGAATTTTAAGGTGTGATGGAAAAAATGAATTTTAATTGGCACATTAATTTTTTAATCGCCATTTAAGCCAACAGTCACAGTCAGATATGTTGTAACTGAGACAGCTTTTGCATTACCTCTAACTCAGCCAACAGCCCATTTATGGTTAAGACTATACTTATTATAAATGAGGTCACACCACAGAGGCTGTGACAGGCCCTTAGCAAACAGCTGTGCCCTACCAGCCCATCATTAAACTGACTAAAGGTGACATCACCCTGTCCTTCCTACTCTGTCAACACTATTGTATTTTGACCGATTTGTTAAACTTGTATAAATCTGTGCTCACACGAACATGTTAATTTCATCATGTAGGTCCAGTACAGTACCATAATTAGCATCAATTTGAAAAAACAAACAAAAAAAACAGGCTCAATATGACCCATGCTTTTCAGAGCAACTGCAAAATCTTGCCCTGAATGGCATTTGCTTTGCCAGCATTACACTACCCAGGATCTCCATTTATCTGGTCAACAAAAATGTAGACCACCTACATTTTTGTTAGCCTGTTATCTACATTCCACACATTTTCACAAAAAATAACACGTCACTTGAAGTTGTATTACTTCATGTAATTAACCAATAAAACACAAGTTTTGTAGCTAATTTTAAAATAATCCTTCCTGTGCTGGGACCAACTTTTGAACAAAGTCCGAGCATCAATTAACTTCACATATTTGTGTAAAATAAATACAAACGAGCATGTCAGTCAGTCAAAAGCATGATTTTTTTCATGGTGGAGTGTGCAATTACAGCCCACTGAAACAAAAGAAAAATTAGATAATGACATATTGACTGACATGCCTCTTTTTTTTTCTTTTTTTTTTAAAACATAGAAAACTTGTGAGTGCTCTGTGGAGGACAAAACATGGAGAAATCATTTCGAAGTTACCTCAAATACCTATTTGTTACTTCTGTACTAACATTTCTTGTTACTTATCTGCCTACATATACACTCATATTAGTGTATCTGTAATAAGCTAATATCTACCCTGCAGATTTTTTAGTCTTGCTCAGGATTGAGAACAGAATTCCATTGAGTTTGTGCAATCAACGCATCAATGTAATGTTTAGCTGTTTGACAAAAACATTCTCACAATACTTTCTCTTATACCCTGATAGAGATAAGATTTATATAAGTAAAAAATGCACACCGCTAAGAGTAGATGTAGATATGAAAAGTTGGGTTCATATTGTTTGGTTAGCATTGCCGTGGAAAAAAATGATAAGATACAATTTCTTCTTCAATAATTCTGACCCATCAAAACCAATATTTGCTGTGACATCTCTCATACTTTCTTATGCAATCTAATATGTGCTTAGCTGGTTAGTGAAGTCACACATGCACATGCGTATTCACATGATGGCTTCTTCACTTATGGACATCCCAGTCCTCGCACTGCACACCTTACACAGCTGACAAAGAGCTATTTATATTCACTAGTCATATACCAAGGCTATGATTGAACCAGTAAGACAAACATTTGCTTAGCCAATCAGTGTTCAGGCCAACTTCTCAAAGTCAGAATGAGTCTGGGCATGTCTGACAGGTGAGTTGACTATACAGGAAAGACAATAGAGTCATTAAAGGATCAGTACGTTAGGCAGAATACACCTTTATTTGAGGAAGAATTACTCATAAGATACCTGACTTTATGGGTCTGTCATTGTATTATTCATCTACTGTTTATTCAAATGAAAAAAGGCAGTTAAACTGAAACAAAGGCCTGCTTCTATACTGACCTTCCTAATCTTTGATGACAGCAACTCAACAAATTTGAGAAAATGCTTAGGTTTTTAAATAACGCAACATAAAACTTTTTTTTCCATTTTAACCAAACTTTGGAATTTCCTCTTCAGTTTTTCAGTCTGTGAATTGACCTCTTCAATTACTTTATCTTTATTTATACTCTCAAAGCTTTCTGAGATGTTTACACTTGAAAGATTAGCTATTAACAAATTTATATGTATATAATACATACATAATATATGTGCAATGTTATCAGATAGTAGCTAAAAAGACTGGTTTTATCAGTGGTCTCACATCTTTGCCTCATATTTTTAGGTTAGTCACATATCCCATTAATTCACTGGCTGTTTAGCAACATATAAAACCCTTAACTCTCTAAGATGGAAATTAATAATAAAACCAGATAGTAAAAACCAAAGTTGATATAAAGTTGAGTGAACAAAGCTTCATGTACAAAGTCCACCTCAGTGAGCAAGAGAGATGCTGCCAATTCCACCTACATACTGCAGAGTGACTGCATAATCCGACACAGCAAAGGAGTGTGGCACCACCTGCTGCTGAATTCGGTTCAATGCAGGGATAGTAAGACCACATGACATGCATGTTAACATGTTGCCACACTGCAGTTTAACAAAGACATGCTGCACAAGCTGTTGAAAAGAAATGGGAGTAATTGCTTTGAAAGTGACATTTAGACCTTCAGAGAAATCCACTACATTTCGTGTGTGGTTGTTTATGTGTTTTCTCACCTTTGACAGGATTAAAGAAGTTGAAGAAAGAGTCGTTGGGGACCTGTTTGGTAACAGTGCGAACAGTGCCACGGCCTTTATGCTTCTGCTTCTTCTTAATAGTTTTCACTGTCACATCCTTCCCCTTGTGCCAATCTATCTGACAGCTAGAGAGAGGAGGTGTGGAAAGAAGTGAGAGGCTGCAGAAAGTAAGGACGCAAAAAGGTAAAAGCTAGAAGAGATGCCAAGAGGAGGCTGATATGTGGGATGTAAATATAGAAAGAGTGAACAGAAATGTTTTACAAACCACACAATATCTATTTTTTACTTTACAACTCAACATCATGTATGTCCAAGCCACAATTTAAAATGCATGATGTGTGCTCTGGCCCTCACCCTTCACAGTCAATGATCTCTGGTCCCTCGAATGAGAAAGGGTCTGAGGCATCAGGCTCTGACTTCATCTTGTAGACTTTAGTAAGGACTGCATTGTTGAAGTAACCATTGGGCTCAAAGTGAAACTCTAATGTGAAACTCTGAGAGAAAAAACAAGATAATTTCACTCAGCATTTTAAAACTATTTAGTTTGTTGGTTTGGAATGATATCAATCATTATGACATCATGTAGATACTGACCATTGGCTGTCCTGGCTCAGAAAACTTGACTTGAATATCTTTCAGGTGTTTTAGGATGGGCTCATCATGCTCCTGGGGGGAGATTAAGAGACAGGTCAGACACTTTTCAGAAATTTGAATTGTCTAGGAGGCAGATGAATAATTGAAATACACCTGTAGCATGTCACTGAGCATGTCCACACTCTTGAATATGGTGAGCCAGAACTCAGGAATGCCTTTTGGGTCTTCCTCTGGCGTGGCTTCCTCTTTCTTTGCATCTTCAATTGCAGCTTTTTCCTTTACTTCCTCCTGCAAGCAGTGACCAGAGCACATTTAAATTCACTGTGTATAAATATAAATTTGTATACATTTTTTTTAAGCTTTTGTGACATCTCATTGAGATCAAGACCTTTTACAAAACACAGATGTTGTGTGATCAGACGCCCATTACCCTCTTCTTTCCTGTTGGACACTACTCTCAGCTTTGTGTATGTTTGGGTATATCTTTAAGTACAGTATGTGTGTTTCCTCATTTGTTTTATTGAAGAGGATAAAGATCTTGAAGTCTTTTTTGTTTTTGGTAAATTCCTGTGTGTGGTGTGGTATGAAAAACATGTGCTGTGGACAATCAGAAGAAGCACGATTTGGAAAAGTGATCAGGCTCTAAAGGTAAACAAATCAAAGTTGTACTTACAGCTAGCTCCTCTTCTTCCTCTCTGTCACTGTGCCACTCACACTCCTCATCTGTGGGTTCCACTGTTCCTGTGACAACATCTCGTCTCTGTGACAGAAACACATTTTGACAAAGTTAATGATTTTAGAGAGATTTGGGAATATTGGCATGAAATATTTGTATATGACCAAGCATTCATTTAACAAGGCTGAATTATTTTCAGCTAGCATGCTGAAATCAACACCATTTGAGAGCGAGATGGACACACACACAGACACACACACACACATAGTACAAACAGGTGCAGCAGGATTACAGCTGCCAGTCTTCAGGGCGACTAAGAATGGCTCAGTTTTTGTCACTGGCTCTGGAAATAGCCTTTACTTACAAACAGTTGACTACTCGTTGTGGCAGTTTTTGATTTAGCACCAAGGATGCATCCTCACTGACCTCAGGTCGGACCAGAGAGACATACTTCACCACCCATTAGTGCAAGGAATGACAAGTGAATCTTAAATATTTTTTCTCTTAATAAATAAGGGAACTTATTTGTTAATGGCAATTTGTTTAGCTTTTGCTGCGTTTGCATGAAGATATACTGAACAAAGAAAACTCTGACATTTAGTACATTTAGTCAAGTACAGTAAAGCAGTGTTAAGAAAACATTCTGTTATAGAAAATATTATCAACTGTACCTTGTCAAACAGTGGCTGGTAGAGGGCAGCATACTTCCTCTCTAGCTCATGGACTTCCTCGTAGAACTTAGCCTCTATGTTAGCACACTGCACCTGTAGCCTTTTCAAGGCATGCACTCGCCTCTTCACTGCTTTGGGAAGCATGCTAAGAAAGAGGAGAGACATTGGACACATCTAAACTTAAACCATTTATAGTAAAAATATGATTATAAAGTAGGTTGTTTCTTTTACTATGACGTATAACTGTGATCCTCAAACAACTCGTACACAATCTTTAATCTGTTAAACTAGTGAGTCCTCATCCTAATGGTTTTGTGAGACTGAAAGATGACTTTGTTTGTATTTGGCTGTCAGTGATGCTGTCAATTACCTAGACTCATTCATCAACTTTGTATGTTGATTTGAGAAAGTCAATCCAAAAAGTACTTTTGTTTTACATGTATGGCAAGTTTTGTGCAATTTGATATGAGCACTAGAATAGTTCATTGTAGTTCACCTCAACTGGATACTGTTCTATGCAATTTTGCATAAATTTGATTCTGATTTTAGTATCTATGTATACAGTATTTCAAATAAGGTAACACAAATATCGCCATATGATATCGATGTCACAGTATACCTCAATACAATCACCATCTTGGGAAATACAATATCATGTTTACATTATGTGGAAGTTGCTCGTTGTCTGTAAGTGCCAAGACACTACATATATTAACTTTTATCCCTTCTAACGGTTGTTTAGATAAGACGTTGTTTAATAAGGTAGATAAAAAGGTTTAGGTATTTAAAAAGAGAAGCAAAAGCAGTCACCATTTTACACTATTGCCACCTTAAGTTGTCCAGCAACTAATGTGAATGTTTTTATGTTGTAACCATGATAATCTTTCCATTTTTACCCTCCAACTGCCATAGCACAAACACAGTATAAAGTATCTACACTGACCTTTCCAAGAAGTGGAAGCTGACAGGTCTGTCCATTTGCCCACCTGGATTTTGCATCCCTTGATCCCCTTTACCTGCCAAACCAACAAAGAACATTGAATTGTACTTTTCACATTTAAAATTACAACATTGAGTTGTGCCATTCTTTTCATCTGCATTTAAAGAGTTGACCAGCAGTGATTTTTCTTAAATTATGTTTTAATTATGTCTCAACCTACACAAAATGATGCAAGAAAATCAATCCAGTACAACAGCCCTCACATTATTGAGATGTTTTGCTACAATTACAATGTTGAGTGTATGATTGACTGTTTGACTTATTTATAACTGACTCAGTGTTACTGATAATTGGTCATTTTTTAGGTTATATTCAACTAAACAAGTTAGCCTTTCTACTATTCTCTTTATTACATGGATGTAAATATGAACATATGACAGCTAATACTGAGTCTCATCAGAAGAACCAACATTTCTCACATTATATGTCTACTTCATTGTGGTAAGTTGAAATACAACTGTCCTACAACCTCCTTACCTTTACTGGCGTCCATTGTCGAGTGGCAACTCCTTCCTCTGTTAGAAGCAGATCACTTATATTAAACATATGCTAATAAGGAGTCACGACAGGGTATTTACAGAGGAAGCTACCTACAAAATGATTGAGGAACACAATCATTGTTGATTGCATTTCATCAGGGAGCCTGGGTTTGCATTTAATCGTACTTCTACTTGATAGACATTATTCGTCATTACACTGCCTTAAATCATCATTACTAAAATCTCAAAGGTTAAATATGATTTCACCAGAGGTACAGGCTTAGACAAGCCCTAACTACGAGAGTGAGTGAGTGGCAAGCCACTTGAGTTTTCTCCAAGTGATCAACAGCAACACTGGTGTTGAGCAAGCGCAGGCCGATGACGCACTGACATGCTAATGGCAGCTGGGCTAGGCTATGACAGTCAGAGTTAGCACATCTCCATTTATACATACTAATGTGGCCATCGCGACCTCTGACAGTTACAGAGTACCACTGAGAAAACAATATCAAATTAATCTACATGCTAACACCATCTTACCAACACGCGAATACTAACAACCACCCAATATGGGCGGTGCCAAAGATTTGACAGCAGCTAACCGGGTTAGCTAGCTAGCTAGCCAAGTAACTACGAGACAACGTGCTATGAACAATGCTTCAGCTAACAGCAAATGCGAAGGTTAACACTTGACATCAACCCTCTCTCCTCCACTCACACAATATATTTAGAATGAATTATTCCAGTGAATGACTAAAGCAAAAACGCTACGCTTTTCGATTATGTAGATAAAACTAGCCGTTAACGTTACGACTGCTAGCTTACTGCTAACCGCATCCACAAGCTAGCTACGGTTAGCTCGCGGGTTATTAAAAGCTCCAGAGTCAGAGGAAAGTGTCAGGAAGACAGCTCACCAGCGGTCAGTCAAATTGGTGAAATAACTCGTCATGTTATTTATTAATGCTATAACATGCGAGAAAATGCTCAAATTAATGATATACCTGTGCTTACTTGCTGTTTTCGCTGACTTACCTCTAGCTGAGCGGAATTCTTGCTGGTCGCCTCGCTCACGCGTCTTCGCTTCAACCCCCACGCGCGAGCAACACACGCGCTTCAGCATCCTGGCTTCGGATTGGACAACAGGTGAAGGGGACACTGTGCTGCGTTCAAGTGCTGCATTGAGAAAATTTTAATCTTGGAGACAATTACAGTCTTACTCAATCACCTCTGTTCTCTCAAATAAATTTGCATAAATAAAATCTAATTATAAATCTCTGCACCATTTCTGCCAAACAGCAGATCTAGACAAAAAGATTGTGAGATTTGGGGGGGGGGGGGGGGCTCTTGAAATAAGAGACATGCATTCAGTCTTTTCGTGTGGGATTCAGACTACAACTTGGAATAGATTTTTGTCTATAGATGTATGTTGTGAGTGCTCGAGATTATGCTTAGACCACAAGAGGGCTTCATATACCTGTGCTTCACAGGAGACAGTGACTGTATCAGTGTCTGCACACTGACAGGCTGATATTTTTTTATATTTGTATTAAAAGTCATCAGTTAATGTGTGTGTTTTGTGGTTAGTGTGTGTACCTTTGTGTTTTTCATATTTTGTAGCACCTGTGAAACACTCAAACATGCTTGTATTCCTTCTGCAAAGACATATCTGACAAGCCCATGGGGTGTGTCTGCCAAATCTTACATACCAAAACAAAACAACAACAAAAAAACTCTATTAAACAGGAACACATGCGATATACAGAACATTTAGTTTAGCTGACCTAGCTCTTAGTGCATTAACATAGCTTTTTAGAGATGATTGGATCAGCTGGTTTATGACTGGAATGAGTCCATGTGTTCAAATCTCTTTACAAAATTTGAAAATATGGAAAAGAATGGTTAAAGCCAAATATTTTGTGGTTTTACTGGTCAACAACTAGTTGGGAATGATTCTGGTGGTATGAACTGAAGAATATGATAATTATTTTTGATGACACAAATGCAAAATGTTTTTTTACACTATAAAATAGCTGAAATAACCTTTCTGTATTATGAAACAACACATCATCGCTGAACAAAAAGCCTTATCAGCGAGCACTGGTAGTTAGTGTTTGCATGAATTAGGCAGTAGGACATAGCTATCAATTACCTGCTTTGTCAGATAACATCAGTGTTTTATTGGATCCAAGAGATGACATAGAGGGAGATTTTAAATATGTGTGACAGAGAGGTTTCAAAGTGGGAAGTGGTAATAGCTTTGAGTCATTTTCTGTCACCATCCACAAATGACCAGACCCATTTGCTTTTTTTCTCCAGTCATTAGAAATTACATCTAAAATTAGAAATTCCACAGCCTTTTCACATCTCATTTATTTAGAAATACAGTATTTATTTGAAAATGTACTATCACAAGGGCACAGAGCATGTCACAAGGCTAAATCAATAGTGATCATCTGTTCATATACAGTATCCTACTGACCCACCATTAACTTTTGTTTTTTCTGTTGGAAATGTTTTTTGCGGAAATAGTCCATTGAGTAACAGACATAAAACAACACTGAAATTCTGTTTGCTATCAACCATTATGTAGTCTACACACTTGAGAGGAAGTGACAGCACTGGGGCCCCTTAGGGTACGATTGTGGTGACCAGGCTTTGTGCCTGTCACAGTGTGACATTTACCAGCAGGGTCTGTATTCACAGAGGAAATCAAATGTGATTGTGTAGCATTTGGGATGAGCCAGAGATCTAGAAACGTAGAAAGTGTACAGTAATCGCTAGTTTTGGAATTGTAGGGTGGTGGTAGTGTCATTTGAAGCAGAATCCATCACTAAATGTACAGAGGAGCTCATTGTACACTATCACCTCAATGTAATGTGGATCTTTGAGTTAAAACTAATAAATCAAAGAATAAAGTGACTTTGAATTAAGGTTTTTGAAAGCCCTTTATAGTTTTGTGACTCTCTGCAGAACCTTTGTTGAAGTGCCTGTTAAGACAATAGTTACACCTGCGGCTCTCACACAAAGCTCTGCTTTACAGCCTCAGCCCATCAGCAAGTCAACTCCAAGATTACACCCGCGCTCAGTCTTTTGTATCCCCCTCCTGAGTGGGTAGCATACACCTGGCTGTACAAATGTTATGTATGCTGGTGTAACTTGTCTAGTCAAAGGGCCTGCCCAGCTGTATGTGCACACATTTTATTGTATGATAGTGCAAGTGTTTGCTGTACACACGTAGAGTATACAAGATGAATTCTTATCACACTCCGTGCATTCTGTCAGATTGGCTGATAGCAACCAGACCTTCAAGCACTGTATCTATCTGTACTACTGAGATCATGTCTGTGAATTACGGCAGAAGCACCACAGAGTGGGTGTTAAGAGGTGAAATTCACCAATTCCTGCGCTCATCATACATCACTCTTTGTCTTGAATAGCAGGTTGTTAGAGCTGGTGGAAATGCACAGAACATCACAGCAAACCTGAATTAGTCAAATGCATTTTCTCTGTCTCTAACAATAGAGTGTCTGTCTGCTCTCTCTTTTCAGTACAACACCCAACACTAAAACAAAATGTCTGCAAACTGTGTCGTCAAGCTCAGATTTTTCCTTTTATATTATGTACTTCTGTCTCCTCTGTACATACAACATCTAGAGCATGTCTTTACTTGTATGTTCGTCAGTTACAGGTTTCTTGTTAAAGCTTTCCTTATCCAATTTGAGGATGTAAAGATAGTGGTTGATATGCTGTGTGTTGCTCAAACCATACATTTTTGGCAATATAAACAGAATGTGCTTGACTTGAATATATTTGTGTATTATCCAGCATTTCTGGTTGCTGTACCAGTTACCAGGTGTGATCGTATGCCAGATGCATGCTTGGACAGGCCCCTGTGACAGTGAATAGAAATAAGTAGGTAAAAACGGTAAATGAATGACTGAACCTTTGTTTGTAATTGTCTTCACATTTTCATACATTGATTAGTCGATTCTTCAGCATTGATTGCTTGAAGGTGGAAATGTATGGTGCAGACAGATCTGGAGACTATAAAATCTCTCTGATCAATATCTTTGCCATTGGAAAGAAAAATACACATTTTGCTGCCTATATTGGTCATGGCCTGGAATCAAAGTGGTCTAGATGCTAGTCATCGCCCCTGTTGTAATTTATTGTTCTCTGTCTTTGTTTTTTGTGTCCTTGTCTCACTTGCACTAACACATGCACACATGCACACACACACACACACACACAAAAAAAGAGAATCGACTTCCTCTTGGAGGTGGATGTCATGATAGCTCTTGTCTCTTCCTGCTGATTAAACATGTAGCAACAGTGTCTCCGTTGGCCCTTCTCATCCCACTGGGGTATTGGTTTTGTGAATGAAGTGTCCAAACTCCCAGATGGCAGTATTGATATGGCCGGGAGGACAGGGCAGTGTTTACGAGCCACCCTGCCCCTGCATCCTCTGTCGTCCATTAAGCCCCTCTCCTCCTAACGCATGGGTAATGGCCTATCTGTACACCATAATCAGACAGACACACACATACACACTGACTGTAAAAAGCCATCAAAATAAGACACACAAACAGAAGCACACACGGTTTGCAGCCACATTGACACAGCTGCAGTCATTATTCACAGGAGGAGGTCTTGGGTTTGTGTGTGTGTGTGTGTGTGTGTGTGTGTGGGGGGGGGGTGAAAAATGGCAAGCGGAAATACTAGATCTCGTCTGAGGTGGCTTCGACAGACGGCCCTGCATGCGTAACAAATTCAGCAGAGCCATCGATCCAACTTGTGGCAGGCTGAGTTCTCTGCTCACTCTTTGCGCGATGTGAGTGCAATTTACTTTAATGTGCACCGATAAGCAATTTCAATCATGACATCTTGTTTGTTTGTCTTTGTCTGTTGGTTGTCCTCTACAGTCGCCATCATTCTCATTCTGCAAGGACAGCTAAACCTTTTAGCCACCAACAAAAACGACCCATAACACCTCCTATCACACGCACAGACACACACAAAATGACAGACTTTGTGTGTTGACAAAATATAATTGACTAGTAACTGTTTTTTCCCTATAATTTCAGTATCAAAAATTTGACAAACAAAACAGAGTTTATTCAAATTCTGACAGTTAAGGATTTTCTGCCAAGGGCACACTTACTTTCATGTTTTATCATTTTTATTATGAATAGATTTATTCTGCAAGTGTACTAGTTATTTTTTAAAAGGGAAATTTGTTTTATTTTAATGGGTTTTGTGTCCATACTTTAATTTATGCGGCAGTGGTCAGTCACTCCGCTGAGATCCCAAAAAATGATGCCTTTTTTTAATATACATGTATATATATATATATATATATATCTTGTGCTAGAACAAGAACTGTATATTGGGAACACAAGTTGTCATCTTGTTGGAACAAGATAATTGAATATAATTTGATGTGCTTACCCACTCTCCTCAAAATGGAGAGTTAATCAAGTTTTATTTTCACCTGCATGTGATGTGATTAAATTCTTGCTCCTCTGGCACAATAACACAGGATTGTTCTAAATAGAAATCATATGCTGCATATCTTAAAGGACAATAGGCTTAGTCATTGGAAGGACTACACAGATTTTGATCATGACACTGACCTTCACAATGATCAGTTACGCAGTTTAGGGAGATGCATAACTCCAGATGGATGTTTATCCTGAGCATACAGCAGAGACAACAACAACTTCACTGAAGACAGAACATTGGTGCATTGACCAATATTAACACACAGTCTTTTGGTGTGTTTATTAATGTATTGACAGTTTCTCATGCAAAATCATTTGCCTCAAAGACGAGCAGTAACCTGAAAGGTTCTGAGTTTATTTTACAGAAGTATTAGAGATGCTCATGACTGTCCCAAACTTGGGGACACATTAAATATCTTGCTCCCACAAGATTAAAAAACATAATGGGCTTTGGGGGTGTTATAGTCCTATAATAAAAATGTATAAAATGTTCAATCAAACTCGGAAAAAATTACATATAATAAGCTTCTTTTTCGACATATTAGTTCATATTTAGGCCGACCAAATGTTTTGCACCAGGACTGACAGGTTACGTCCTTA